AGAGAGAGAGAGAGAGGAAAAGTACATTACAAGACAATGCTATAAAAAAGCGACAGAATTTCTTATGATGTCTGGCTCTGATGTTTCAGGTTCTATACATTAACCATGTAGCATACTACAAAAATGATTTGGGATTTCCATAGGATATATGTCATGCTTGGATCTGAAGAGTTACATTTATCCAAGTCAGATTTCACACAGTTTGTTGATGAACACCACATGCTCATGTGGAAGCATTTGCTCACTGCTGCCATCTACGTTGTTATGTTCGGAAATCAAAGAGTTTGATGGGTTTCAAACTTTATTTCTGTTTAATGCATGGGCTGCTGCTGCTTTTTTTGTGATATAAAGTTTGTCAGAGTCAAAATTTCCTTGGTGTAAATATATATACATAATGAATGAATCTTGTAATAATGGAGAATGAACCTAAATTGTTGATTAGTTTTGTGATATTTGTATGTTGAGGATTTTGGCTGAAACTTACCTGGTTTGCATTTTTTTAACCAATAAAATTCACAATAAGAAGCATTAAGAGGAAAGAAAATTGTTTCATGCGGGCTTGACCGCATTTCTACAATATGTGGTCCAGAGGTAAAGATGGATGCAAATAGGTGGTCCATCTAAAAACAAGTGTAACTAACTGTCCAAATGTTTTCTTGATATAATTATTATTTTTAGTTTTCAATTTTATTTTATTTTTTTCATATTCATGATCTCCATGTTAAAAATTATATATTCTTTAAAAATTAAGATCAATTTAAATTTAAAAACTATATTTATTGCCAAGCCTGTATTTCTACATTATGCCAGCTCGTTGCATAGAAACCATGTCCAAAGAGGAAACCTCTCCTACTCTAGTTATGTGTGTGATTACTCATCCTAGCTTATCTTCTCTCTGTTATTCCAATTTTTTTTTGGATGTCTTCAAAGAGAAACCTCTTTCTAGCTCTTAAAAACTTGACCGTAAGGAGAAGAAATCTCTAAAAGTTAAAGGAAAATGTTTTGATCGGGCTGCACCACTATCAAAATAAGTAAAGCTTCACCTCGATACTCATAAAAAATTGTAGTAATAGCGTCGAAGAACCTTTAAATTAATAATCTTGACCTTGACCATTATGGTTATGAAAAAATTAGATTTTTAAGCCCTGAAAATGGTGTATGTTTTAACATATTATCTACACTCTCCATTTTCAAGTGTTCATGGATGTGTAAGATTTATATATATTTTTTAGCTACAAATTTTGTAATCGGTGGTGGAAATTCATTGTAGAATCATCATGGAGATTTCTATGCTAAAAATGTTTTTTGAATGAGGTTTCAAGATGAAGCTTTATTTTTTTCCATATGACTTGTGCTTTATCAAACTGCATCCAAAAGTTAATAAGTAGCCACTAACAATAAGTAGTGTTGAGATATTCTTTTTTTTTTTTTTTGGACAAAGTGACGTTTATTGCTTGTTAACAAAAGACATGATTTTTATGTAGGTAGGCCCCACATCAACATTGTTATCAATATCCAAGCTTCATCCAATTATTTGGGTTGCCTTAGAGCAATCTATTTGAATTAAATCGCACTTTCTAACTGAAGTTGTGTGTGCAGACATGCCCAACTGAATCGCACTTTCTAACTAAAACACGTTGCAATCTACACTGTCCAATTAAATTGGACAATATGGGTTTTATACAGGCAAGTGGCCTGCCCATATAATCAAATTTCCTCATTGGGATTGTATACTATGAAGCCATTTATATTTATTACGAAGAGATCACAATTATTCTTACCCATTAAATGCTAAATCGGATAGTCGGGGGTTTGTTCCTATTGAACTTTAAATCTAATCAATGACATTTTTGCAATCACTCAATTTAAAATGCCAAGGATAATTATGATTTTCCTGTACCAAAAGTAAATGGTCTCTTTATATATTTTTCTTTAACAGGATTGTCTACTATGAGACCATTTACCTTTGTTATAAAAAAATCACAATTATTCATATCCATTAGATATTAAATTGGATGGCTGAAGTCTATTACAAAGTTCAAGAATTTTTATGTTGAACTTTGACTCTAGTCAATGAGGCGTCTCTTTACGTACCTCTCCATGAATTTTTATGATCCGTGGAGTGAAAGGTGTTCCACCAAACATGTCATTCTCTCTCTTGTACACACCTGCTTAACCCATCACCATTCACCCACGATTTCGAAGACTACGAACTGTATGTCTACACTATTACCGTGATCACAGTGCAGTAATTGCAGCTTCAAATTTTTGGGTATTATGCAAAAACTATTTTCATATTTGTGTAAAAAGCACCGTTGTCACTAGACGATAGGCAATCAATAACTTTGGGGTAGGTTTAGAGCCTATGTTCCCGTTTGGATCTCAACCTTTTTTAGCTCTAGGAATAAAATTTCTTCATAGTCGCGTTGGAATAAGTGGCATGCAAGCATGGTGTGCTTCAATAGGGTCAATTCTAAGAGCGAAATTCCCCCGACAATAACATAGTTTTACCGATAGGTACAAGCCTATACGATAGAAAAACCCATCTTACCACCAATGGCATTATTATCATCATCAGAGCGTTTTTTCAATTAATTAGAGTCAATTATACGAATTTTGGTCTGTGATTCTGTTCTCAGTAAGATCATAAGTCTCCATATCTTGCAACAAGCAGCAAAAAGTGTAAATAGTTCAATAATAATGCCCATTTTTCCATCTTTGTTCATAAAAGCAAGTAAATATAAATTTATGATATTGCCCTCGGCCCATACCGACTGAGCTTTAATGCACATTTTAAAATTTAGTTCCAGCAATGCTATCAAGATCGGGCTGACCATCGAACCAGTGAGGTTTGGTCTAATAAAAATCAGTCTAACCACTGATCAAATTAATTGGATTGGATTATAGAAAAATGAAAGAAAATAGATATAAAAAAAATATAAAATGTATTTAATGAATTTGCCCAAATTCACATTGACGGTAAAACTAGTTAAAATCAACAGGTTTAGCCGGTTAGATGTTTGTTTTGATTGATTTTGACTAAATCTGATTTTTGCCTTGGACTTAACTGACTAAGACACTGGTCGGCAGTTGGACCGGCTGGATATGAGCGTGATAACTATGAATTCCATAAACAATGACTTATTTGAAGAGAGAGAGAAATATGAATAGGTAGCATCTTTTAATCTAGACTCCAAGTGTGCGAAAAAGGTTTCGGGAGAGAGAAGGCTCCAAGTATGCGAAAAAAAAATTTAAGGGAGAGAGTAATCAAATTTCATTGAGCGAGGTTTAAGGTTTTCGGTAAGACTTGGAGCAATTCCATATTATTTTGTATCTTAAGAGAGAGAGGGGCATGGTATTATTAGGATTGGTCTGGCTATTGAACTGAGTTTAGTCTAGTCAAAATCAGTTCGAAAGTTAGTCGAGAACTGGTTGGAACTTATTTTAGTAAGAAAAAAAAAAGGAAAGATCTATCATAATTTTAAAATATAACATATATTTAAAAAATTTGCCGAATTTCATTTTGATGGTGGATCCGGCCAAAACCACTCTGGTAGACCTGCCAAAACCACTCAGACATTGGTTTCGACTAAACTTAATTTTTTTCTTCAACCAAATCGACCCAGACACGAATTGGCGATCTAGCTCATCAAAACTATACTTCGGTCCGATCGTGATAATTATGGTATTAGGAATATAAGCATGCGTACACGTGCCCTTTGAGGGGCCATACATGAACAGCCGTTAAAAGTTCGTTTGAATGCATGAAATTTTAGAAATAGTGTTGGTTTTTGTTCACTTGACAATAGCCACAGTCTTTGCTTGATCTGCCATTATTCATGTGAGATTCTTTTTGTAACCGTGCTTATTCACCTAATAATACTATTGCACTACCTGTTAGATAAAAATAAATAACATAAGAGATGCCTATCAACAGTGCCAAAATAATACGGAAAATATCATTAAAATGGTCACATTGCCTCATTGATTTATCAAAAATCAGTGGTATGGTTAAATTGACAATTTTACTAACAAAATAGTTGCTTTTTTAAAGATATTTCCATTTAGGTACTTAATAGTTAAAAATATATGGCCTTGTTCTGACTTCTGAGTAAGTAACTTTGATAAGTAAATGCACTTGGGTTATTTGACACACTTATACTTGATCCAAATGACTTGGAAAGCACTGCTTGTTTTGTGTTAAACATATTATTTTGCTTAAAAATTTGTCTAGGCTTGAAACACGAAACAAATAGAGCATTTTGATAATTTTACCCCTATTCAAGTTGCCTGATCCAAAAGATTTAATTTATCTACTTGCTCAAACTTCCAAAATTAGAATAAGATTTTTCAATGAAAAAACATGTTCCGAATTTGAAACTTGGAACAGTAAGGGTATTCAAGTCATTTGGATGAAATAACTTAAAATAACTAAATTACCTAAATATCCTCCTTTGTTTATGGTTACAAACTCAAAACAAGGGTATGTCGAGCATTTTTAGCAAAATTATTGAACAACTAAGTGAAAGCATCTTTATATACCGTATTTACTTTATTCATAACTTAGTTCATTTAACTACCTAACTAATTTGTTAGGTGGTTTGACTATTTCATTGATATATTTTCCTAAAATAAATGCAAATATTAGGATAGCTGATAGAGGTAAGTGGACCCAATTCTTTATCATTACCACTAGTGCATAAAAAGCCCAAGAATTTGAGGCTCTTCTCCAATATTTTATGAATATCCTGTGACCAATGGAATTGCTCACACCTTGTGCCCAATGATGCCCCAAACTAGAGTCTTTGTTTATTGCATTATTCTGGTGATATTGCATTATTCTGGTGAGTTCTAGCACGTTTTTTTACAACCTAACATGTGAGATAATATAGGAGATTATACTGTGGGCGTAGTTTGCATGAGGTTATAATTTTAAACAATCAAAGTAAGTTCCACTATCAAAATTTATTATAAGATGTAATTTTGGTGCAAAATATTCTTAGAGTGGCTTAAGAATGCATTTCAATATCTAATTATACAATTTTAGATTTAAAAAATGGTTCCAATTAAGTACATCTATAAACACATGAAAATTTTGAAAATAGATGGTCTTGATAATGTATTGCAAGATGGGTTATTTTTGGTACTCAAAAGCTTTATTTCTTCCATATTCATATATCTTGATGTCAAGATGAACAATTAGAACGTTTTCCAACGTCAAAGCATCATTTTACAATAAATTTTTTAAATGCACCGTAGTTCTATATTTTAAGATTGCAACTTTATATACACTTTTCTCTTATATTGTATATACTATTTATTAAAAAATTTCACAAAAAATGACTATAAATATGTGCTAGTTGCATCACTTTTTGTGTTGAAGTACTAGATGCTTGTTCCATATGATGGATACCG